ATAAATTTTTAATATATTATATTTACGAAACATAATTAGGTTTTAATCCCATTTGGGAGGAATCAACTGAATTCATAATCCGATTGCCGGATATGGCGTTCATATACTTTGCGGTTAGAGATAATTTGACGACAGATAGTGATGTAATTCTAGGCCAATATATGCTCGCATTCCCGGCTATTATGGAAGGTATTAATTAATCAATAAAATTGCAATTTAATTAAAATATCAACATTTGTCTGCATATAAGGCTATCGTACCGTCAATTTGGTGGACAGCGATAATCGGTCCTTAAGTCCGGCCTCTCTTTTAGTACACATCGCTTTCAAAGATGTCGGCGATTACTGGAGTCCTGAATAGATATTATCTAAATATCAGTTACTGTATATTCGTTGGACATTGTATTCAATTATTGATTATTTTTAATAAACCAAATTGTAATTTCAAATAATTCATTTTATAATCTTTAAAAAACAATTAAAATTCAATTATTATTAAACAATTTCTTGGAAATTATTCACATCTTAAGACCAAAATATCTAAATTCTAAATTTTTTAAATATCTTGTAAATTCAATTTTAAAATATTTATTATAAAGCTTTGATAAACATTTGTTTATTGCATTCTTGCAAATAAATTCATTTACTAAATAATAATATTAATTTGATATTTTGGATATTAAAATCAAATTTATATCTTTTACAAAACTATTTAGTTGATCATTAGTAGTGTTTGTTTTAATACCGTATATTAAATGAATAAATTTTTCATAATACAGTTTGAAACTTAAAATGCTACATACAATTAAACACATGATAAAATTGATTTGTAAGAATTAAAATCACAAATAGATTACATAATTATTTATGAAATAAAAATTATCATTTATTGCTGATATTAAAAATTGTTCAATCATTGTAATTAGTAACTCAATTTGTTTACAAAATGCAATTACATTACAATTACAATTTGATGATGTAATTGGATGTGCTAATGTTAGGTAATTATCATGTTTAATTAAATTTTTATATTTAAAAAATCCCTATTATTTATATGTGATTTTATATCAATAGTAAAGCAAATTATAATTTAATTTTTACACAATATAACAATATTATCATTAAATCACTAAATATGTGAATACAAAAGTCAATGGAGGAAGTAATAAATGTCTAAAATGTAGATCATTGCTAAAAAATCATATAACTTTCAATTATAAATTGAAATTAATAAAATCATTTCCATTATACTGTGTACTGTATTTCGTAAATCATTGAATGATATTTACAACTCATAACCGTTGCCTTAGTTTATATCAAAGTATTTATAACACTTATG